TCTTTCCCTTCTCAACTCTGCATTTTCTTTCCCTTTCGTTTTTCATTTTTGTTATATATATCAAAATATATATAATTTTTTGAGAGGTTTTTGCTATAGGGCACATGCACTCACCAGAAAGACAGAGAGAGACGGAGAGACAGAAAGTGAGAAATCGCCCTTCAAGGGAGATGGCCACGCTGCACTCCCTTGTCCTCCATTCTCCTCTCAGGATCTTGGGCACACGCGCCTGGCGTGAGTTTAAGCCACGAGGTCCAGGACTCGAACTGTGGTCAACTACATAGGAGTCCAGCTAACTGCTGGTCCCTGTTTTCTATATTTTCTTCCTGACTTTCTTTCGTTTTTCTTTAGCACTTATTTTCCATCTGTCTTTCCCTTAACTAACTGAAAACTAGTTTGGTAGATTTTGTGTGTATGTGTGTGTGAGTGTGTGTGGGTGTGTGTGTGTGTTCATACATATATTGGGTTTTCTGAAAAGGCATGATGTATTTTTCTACATTTTTCCATACAAAAATGCATCATGACTTTTCTGATGACTCAATACATACACACGGGCACACATATATATACATGCACATACATATATATATACGTATGCTAGTGTTTAATTGTCTATCTATACTCTCCCAAGAAAAGTATCAAGATTTTAAATATGGTTCATTATTGGGCCAGCAGATGGCATAGTGGTAAAGGAGCATGACCATGTGGGAACATAGTCAACCACTGTTCGAGTCCCAGACCCAGTGGCTTGACACCAGGCACGTGTGCATGTGTGCCCAAAATCCTGAGAGGAGTATGGAGGAGAAGAGATTGAAGCATGGCCATCCCCCTGGGCGGGGGGGGGTGATTTCTGCTTTTTCTTCTCTGTCTCTCCAGTGAGCACACATGCTCTATGGAAAAAATCTCTCTAAAAACTATGCTCACTATTGACAACCTTCATTGAAAGACTTTTGATATTAGTCCTGGACAAATTACTGAATCTTTCTTCTCCTCAATTTCTCATTGTATAGCAAAGTACTCCCAAAGTACTTAAATATTAAATTTAATAATATATATCAAACACTAAAAGTAACTGATACACTATATGTATATCAAACATAATTACAGTAACAATATTGTAATTATTATGTTCACCATCCAGAGTTGTTAAGACTTCTTTTTCTTTACAAGATGTATTCCTTTAAAGTAATTTAGATATTTGAAGCTCTACTTTTGCTAGTTTATTATGGAATCAACTTCACATATTTTCATAAATGTTCTATTACTTTTCAAGGCAGTATTACGTGATTTAAGTATTTCTGGGAGTGGTATAGTAGCATGTGTTGAAATAAATCAAGACTAAATCTAGAATACAGTATCTTCATTTTACATTATTCACAGAGGAAAACTCTTGCAAATAACTTTACCATTGCCAACTTATTTACTGTATCAAATGCCATTGTTTAAAATGAAGAGAATAAAGCTTTGTAAATAGTACTTTCAGAAAAACAAATTCCTAAACATAGCTATTCTGTGCAAAGGTAAATATGTTGAAATTAGTTAAGGTTACTGTGACTAAATTTCCAAATCAAACATCTAGATGTCTCCTCTGATGTTTAGGACAGAGTATCTGACAGTGTTGCAAGAGTTTAAACTGAAAACCATTGTACAAAGTGAGAGGGTCGGGGCCAGGAGGGAGGGCAATCAATCTGCCAAAGGAGATGGCAGCATGAACTCTCAGCTGGGCCTTTGGGAGACTCCAAAACCACCATAACCCACATACAAGGAGACTTTTGATAAGTTATTTAATTTTTTTGAATATTTTCTTTAAACTTTTAAAAACCCTTACAAGGCATAATTTAATATGGTTTTCTTGGTGGGTTAGAATGCACTATTTTTATGAGAGGTATTGGGGACTACCTATTGAAGAAGGACTAAGTAAGTACTGGTTTTGGCACAAGAGTCAATAAAATGCAAAACTTAACATTGTATTTTGAGTAAGTGGTAAGTGATAGTAGGAGAATATATACATATGAGTATGTGTACATATGAGGGAACTTCCAAAAGCTCATAGAAAATGGTATTAGAGTACAAGTTTGGGACAGCAGATGGTGTAATGGTTATGTCACTGGACTGCCTCATAATCGACCATAGTTTGAGTCCCAGACCTGATGGCTTAAAACTCATGCCAGTCATGTGTGTGTGTGTGTGCGTGCCCAAGATCCTGAGAGGAGAATGGAGGAGAAGGGATTGTGGTGTGGCCATCCGCCCAAGGAGTGATTTCTCACTTTCTGTCTTTCTATCTGTCTCTGTCTCTCTGGTAAGCGCACACACCCTGTATAAAAAAAAAAGTCTCTTAATAAAAAAGTACAAGTCCATTTTGGTGAAAAATTCTTGAATCCATGAATACTTGCAGGCCAGGAGGTGGCATGGGAGTACAGATGACTGGATCCCACATGGCTAACAGTCTGGTTCAAGTTCTAGACCTGGCACCTTGAGAAACATGTGTGTGTGTGTGAGTGCCAAAAATCCCAAGAGGAGAATAGAAGAGGAGGGATTGTGGCATAGCCATCCCTCTCAGGGATGTAGGGGGTGGAGGGGGGATGGTGACTTTTTGCATTCCTTCTTCATTTCTCTCTCTCTCTGTCTCTCTCCAGCAAGCACACTTGCCCTACAGCAAACAAACAGAAGTATAGTTTCTATGCATAATGTCTTCATAATACAATTTTTCCATGAACTTTTGAAGAGTCCTTCATATGTTATATATACATATATTGTATATAAATGCACACAACACAATCTCAATTAATTAAAGCTGATGGGGCCAGCCAGTGGTGTGGTGGTTAAGGTGGCTGGAACCCGTAAGACCAACTGTGAGTTCGAGTCAGGAGTCAGGACCCAGCAGCTTGAGAAACATGGTAGGTACATATCTATTTGTGCCCCAAATCCTGAAAGGAGAGCTAGAGGGAGAGGGTTTGCAATAGTGAATGGGCTAGTGTAATATTCCATCTTCCATGGGAAAGGTTTTCTCACTTTTACTCTCTCTGTCTCTTGCTGTCAAGTGCACACACCTTTAAGCAAATTTAAAAAAAAAAAAAGTCCAGCAGGTGGCATGATGGTTGAAGCACTGGACACCTGCATGACCGACCACAGTTCAAGTCCCAGTCCTTGCAGCTTGCTTTCACACTCTCTCTTTCTGGTCAAATTGAATAATAATAAAAAATAATAATAATAATTAATAAAATAAAATAGATCATTCTAAAAAGTAAGACCAAATTACACAAACCAGAAGAAAACTTACAGATATACACATAATTTTTTCCAGCTATAGACATAAGCTGATAAAAATTAGTTATTTATGTGACCATTTCATTAGGAAACAATTATAAATTAAAGGAAATTACTTTGTAATTCTCTATTTTATTATAATTTTTTACTTTCCATGAGCTATTTCCATGAGGTCTATTTCCACGAGCTCCTCTGTAACATTTTAGAAATCATTTGCTCAGATCTTATGCAACACAAATAACCACATGTAAGGTTCTCACCAGTCGAGGTTTCCTGCAGTTTTAAAGTCTGTCTTATCTGCTGCCGTGCTTTTCCTTTTGCTCCCAGTTGTACCATTCCAAGAACCAGAGTTGTTCCAAGGGGGGAAAATATAATGTTGTTCTTGTGAGATAAGGAGACAGCCTGATAAAGATCCACCGCAAATTCAGCATTTTCCTGAGCCATGGGTCTTGAGGCTTGACTTCCAGCAAAAGTCAATAGGAGACTCCACAACAAGATCTCATCCATGGTGACTTCTACATTGTTTAATCCGAATGTATTAGTCTTCAAAACATTTTACCACACTAAGCTTCACAGAAAGTTAGAACTTTCTATCTGAGTAGAACATACTATCAAAAGAACCTACACGATACTCACCTACAAAGACACATAGTCCATGTAATAACCAGATTTTTTTATGTGTCCCTTCAAGAATGAGTTCAAAATATATTTGCAGTTTCTCCAACAAATGTAAAGGAGAAAGTATAATGATTGAATTTTATCAATGCTATCTCAGAAGTTAGCTTACAATTTTTTCCTATCTTTTCCCATGATTTTAAATGGCATACGTGTAACTCTGAGATCAATGGAAACGCCTGTCAGAACTACTGTAATGTGGCAGATAGATTAAGAGGAGAAACAGAATAAAAGAACACAGTTCAATGTGGCGTGGGACCTATAATGTTAGGAAGCTAATATATCCTAAACCAAGTGAATAATCTAGCTATCTTGTAACAGTTTTTCTGACACTTTTTGAAATCTCACTTCTGTAAGGGCAAAACACTCCAAAGCCCATCTAGTGATTTTCCAAAGGAAGGAAAAAGAAATTGCAAGAAGATAAAATGACAATATAATATTAATGGTACAAGAATAACAAAAGAGAAGGCAACTTGAAAAAAGTCAAAGAATAATTTGACAAAAACTTAACAAATACAAGAATAATAGTAATTAAAAACCATAACCAATTACTAATGACATCCTTTTTAATTGGTCTCCACTGAATTTAAAGAAATGTGACCATCTGATTATATCTGGAGCAGAATTAACTTTGCAATATTTCCACATAATTGGTAGAATACTGGCTCTGAAGGCCTCGTAAATTTTAATAATGCTAATTATACTTCACAAGTAATACATGGTAGTAACCCTTAAAAATTCATTCAGTAGGTTATTAGGAAGTAACCCTTTACTTGGGTAAAGAGGAAAGTCTCTAGGATTGTGTGTTAGGCTTAAAGAAACACTCTATATTTCTAGAGTGTTTTGTAGACCATCAGGATTCTCACGACCCATAAGAAGATTACATCACTAAGAACCACTGCTGTATAAAAAGGTTAGTATTGGGGCCAGCACATGGTGTTGTGTTAAGGGTGTTGGACTCCCCCACAGCTGACTGCGGTTTGAGTCCTGGACCTGGGCCTCTCACTCTGTCCCTCTCTGGTCAAATTAAAATAAATAAATAAAGTTAAATTTAAAAAATTCTTAAGAACAAAAAAGATGATGATTATTATAATAGCTTATCTCCCAAAGTAAGCCATAGAGTTATATTGAAAGATTTCAAATTCTTTCCCAATATATGTAGTTGAATTCTATTTGTTTAGGTATTTACTTAGCAAAGGAAAATAATCATTCATTCTCATCCTATGCAAGTGTTAGAAAATAATGTGTTATAAACTAAAATATCAATATATTCTGATAAGCAAATGTCTTATTAAGGATTAAATCAGTACACAAGTTTGTGAGTGAACATACATCAATAGTAAGAGCCACTAAGAGTTTTACAAGCAAAATAAATGTCTAAGTCGCTATGCTCTTGTATATTCAATTTCTCAGAAGATTTCTGACTAGCATATTTGTCTGTAGATATGTAAGTAGGAAAAATATTATTAATACTTTTATGGCATCAAGTGGCAATTCCTTAGGTACCTCCTTATGAACTTGATTTACCTGAGAATAATAAGTGATATTATTAAAATGTGATTTTTTTTCCTTTTAGTAGAATCTCAGCCTTACAATAATCCTGTCATTACTACTAACAATCGTAATAATTAAAATTTACAACTCGTGAGCATCCATTCCTTCCAAAAGATTTCTAGACTTTAATATATTTCAACCTTAGATAAATACTCGATTTTTAAAATGCATTTACCTTATTGACTTTCGGAACATAACACATCAGAAAGAACTAAACACTAGTGAACTAAAGAACTTGATAAACAGTCCCATAAGGATGTAACCTTCTAATTCACAGTGACATCTTTTAAGGAGAATAAAGCTAATGTGTTCATTTAATAAACATAAATTATTTCTGCACCAAAGTTGGTTGAAATGCCATTCTTCCACTTTACTAAACATTTTTAGTCCAAGTTTTTAGACACGTACTTCATTCAAAAGCTATTTAATTGTAAGTTACTTACCCCAAATTGGCTTCTGATTATTCACGGGAAGGTCAGAACTACAATGTGCTTGCTGGGAAATACATACACACAAACACCTGGCTGATCAAGGCCAATTCTATTTCCACTGAACATTGCTTGATTAATTCCTCTGGAACCAGCACAGGTGTTCTGGTTCTGACATAAAAGGACTAGCATACTCAGGTTAATGATCAGTGATAAAATATGCAGTTGAAAGAAAAGAACAATAACCTATTAATTATTGCATTTATATTATTATTTTGTCAATTGTTTCACTTCATTTAAAGTAGAAACAGAATCGGAAGAATATGCCAATGGTTGTAAATTTGCTGGTAATTTGTTATTTTTGTTTCTTATAGGACTCCCAACCAGATTACCAATGTACCCTATGATAAATATTTTAGAATGCCTATGAGAAAATAATAAAACTAAATCAAATCCAGAGTGCAGAGACAAATTACTGCAGCATTTTGGAGTTCTCAACAATTTATCAAGTTATACAACAGTTAAGAGAAGCTTTCTGTGGATGTAAGATTATTTGAATACTTAGAAAAAAGAGTCAGTATGAAGAAATATGTTCTTCATTTTGAGCAAAAAGACCAGATTAAGATTATTGATTTGCCAAATTATAGCAAGATAATATCATTAACCATCAGTAATTTGATAATAAATGTTGGTATAACTTTTCTGTGCTTTTAAAAACTCTACACACTTTTCTCAACAAACAGATCATTAATAAAAAGTAGATGCAAAAGTGAGTTGGTTTTCATCTCAGTTTTGAAGTTCAAATCAATCATCTCAGTGACATCTGTACTATGTTACTCATCAGTGACCTCTGAAAAGACAAATGGGAAATTTGGTTCTATTTCAATTTAAACATGTCTGAAACTATTGATTGCCAAACTCATAAAAAAGCAATAAAATAAGCATAGGTAGTTTTTTAAAAGAATTCATTTAAATAACTTTTTCAAGGACCCTATTAATGTCCTTTGGTATCCTAATAGGACTATTAACTTATTGGTAGGCCTGAGAAGCCCGGTCACCATTACAGGGCGTAAGCTCCTGACTACTTAATTTCCCATACAGGCAGTTTCCACATCATGAGTTTTGTTCTCATATTACTTACTCTAATATAAACAAACTCCACACTGGCTTTAACTTAACATGGTTAGAGATAATTTTCAATAAGAACAAAGCTGTGCAACACAAGGACACTGTCATCCTACTTAATTGTCTGACTGTGATACACAAGTAGTAAGTCTGAGCCCCCAGGTCTCTCATTCGATCAATGCTTTTCCACCCATGGAGTGACACTGGCAAAATCCATCACCCGTTCCCTTGGCTACCAAATTATTATGTGTGTACATTACTCAGGTCATAATGTGATTTATCTAGGAACAGGCCATTCCTTTCCCTCCCAATGGCAAAGGCAACCACTCTGTCTTAAGATCGTTTAATGAAGTTGTTCTGTAAAGACCTAATATTAGAGCAGTGCGAGGAAAATGTACATTTTCCTGACTCTTGGGGAACAAAAAGCAATAGCAATGTTTTTTTCCCCTTGTTTAAGCTGTGTAATAGACAATAAAGTCATCATGATTGTCTGTAAAGTATTACTATACCTATTTAAAGAGTTTCACAAACCTGTTCCTTCTATAATTCTATTTTGTCCCTAGGAAATCAGGGGAAAAAATTGTGTGTGAATGATTGCCAAAGTATTTTGGTTGACATTTGAGCCCCATCACTACCCCACTGTAAAGAGTAAACCTGGAGGGAACCAGCAGTTAGCGTAATGGCTATGTCGCTGGACTCCCACATAGTTGACCGCGGTTTGCGTCCTGGACCCGGTGGCTTAAAACTCACGCCGGGCGCATGTGTGTGCATGCCCAAGATCCCGAGAGGAGAATGGAGGAGAAGGGATTGCGGCATGACCATCCACCCTGGGGGGTGATTTCTCGCTTTCTGTCTCTATGTCTCTCTCTCTGTCTTTCTGGCGAGCGCACGCGCCCTATAGCAAAAACCTCTCCAAAAAAAAAAAAAAAGAGTAAACCTGGAAATATATATATTAACAAGGAGTTCCAATTATAACCGATCCCGAGAGGAGAATGGAGGAGAAGGGATTGCGGCATGACCATCCACCCTGGGGGGTGATTTCTCGCTTTCTGTCTCTATGTCTCTCTCTCTGTCTTTCTGGCGAGCGCACGCGCCCTATAGCAAAAACCTCTCCAAAAAAAAAAAAAAAGAGTAAACCTGGAAATATATATATTAACAAGGAGTTCCAATTATAACCTGATCACAGGTATTACCACTTTATAGTTTTTCTAAGCTGAACATGCAGTTAAATACAACCTTTAAAAATATACAGGCATATGTTCCAATTATTAAAACACATAAAAATTAATTCTTCCAATTACGTATGAATTAATTTCAGGCAATTTTTCTCTGTTATTTTTTTCCATATATTTTGAATAATAGAAAAAAGTTCTGAAAAGAAAAAAGGTTAATTACATTTGGTATAAATGTACATACTACACACAAGGTAGCCATTTGAAAATTATGACATATCCTATGACAGTGTGACACATTCCTTTTATCAAAAATTAAATAATGGATCTTATATAATTAGGTCTAAATGTTAACTTTAGAAACAGTTACATAGTTACATGGTCAATTCTGTTCATAGTGATAGGCAAGACCCCACTACCTGCCTACCACAATTAACTGCTCTAAAGTACAAAAGAAAAGTAAAACATAGTAACAAAATATTTTTTCTTCTTTCTGTGTGTGTTTTGTTCCAAATTACTAGGAAAAGCTGCATTAAGAGACTTCCGTATCACTTAAAGCTCTGTTCTCATGAAATACACTTGTGAGACAACACCTTTGCCTGTCACAGAAGTGATCTTGAAGCTAGTTAAGGGTAGAATTAAAGTTGCACACTGATAGTGCCTTGCACACATAGCTATAGAGAGAGGTTCTGTCTCTATAAACCAGACTATCTCAAACTAATCATTTCAATCAAAGTCATGTACCAGACAGCTGAAGGCAGAACTGTATTCTAATGGTATGTGAATCTCTGGTATCCAAAACGGTCTTACATATGCTCTGAATAATAGATAATTGATAGATAGATGAATAGCGGGGGGCTTTGCAAAGTATATGGTACCCCCATTATACCTCTTTAACAACTTAATAGTCTTTTACATTTCTGGGACTATGACTTAGATTTCACACCACAGTATTATCACCAAGCTAAGATTCATAAATCGTGTGCTCTGAATTTGATGGAAATGATGGATTACTCCATCAAATCTCTTACCCAGCACAAGAACGCTCTTCAATATCCCAGGGAGAGAATTACCCATGTTCTGCTTGAACATCTCAAGGAATTTTTTGTTCCAAGGCAACTTTTTGCTTTTTAAAACTATAATAACTTACTACGAAATGCTTTCAATTCTACAGAAAAGTTGCAAGTATTGCAAAAAGTACTACCACCTAAACCTCTCCTCTGAGTTGTTCAGAATGTCACTATTCACCACATTAGTATGCCCCACCTATGTGTCTACTTTTTCTTTATAGAAAATTAGAGCCAGCCCATGGCACGGTGGTTAAGACAGCTAGATGTCACATGACCAACTGTGTGGTTTGAGTTCCAAACCAACAGCATGATAAACACACTGGATTAGTTGCGTGTGTGCCCAAAATCTCAAAAGGAGTGAGAAATGGCAGAGAAGGGATTGTAGAATGACCATTCCCCTCTTAGGGAGTGCTTTCTCGTTTTTTCTCTCTCTTTCTCCATCTCTCTCCAGTGAGTGCACAAGTCTTATAGCAAATTAAAAAATAAATCAATAAATAAAATGATCACAAGAGACTTTTTAAAAAATGGTTATAAGAAATAAAAATAAATACATGTTTATGTAAACGCACATAATAATCAGTAGTTTCTGAATCACTCAAAGGCAACTACAAATGAATTTTTATCCTGCCTAACCATTCCAGTATGGATATCCCTAAAACAAGGATATTCTCCTACTGTAGTGAAATGTCCTAACTGTATATTGCCTTGGCGTCCATCTTGAATATAACCTTGGACTTTCTTACACCAAAGGCAGGCCTCGGTCACCCTTGCCCGTTTCCAGTTCCATAGCCCCTGTCAGTTCCTTGGTGTAGTTGATCCAGGTATCTGCCTGACACAACTGCCTCTTGGTGACCCTCTCACTCTCCATACGGGGACTCCATATACAGCCCCACTTGACAGGCCCACCTGTCTCTCACCCAACACAGGGTGTACACATGCCACAGTGACCACCTCTCAGTCACAGTGTGAGTTGAACTTCTGCCTGCTTGCTTTGCAGTCATCCATTAGTTTCCTGTGGGAAATCTGTTTGATAATTAATTGGACCAAATAAAGGTGTTGGTGTTGCCGGTACACAGGTAATCAGCTTCTTTGACCAACAGGCAATGAGCCCAGCCCTAATTGTTCCCTTTCTCCTTCTCCATGTGCACTCTAACTTCCATGTGTGTGGCTTCTTGAAGTGTTGTGTAGCCTCTGGAAACTGTAAGTAATAAATAAAATATTGTATTTTTGTGCATCTATTTATTTATTATTTATTTATTTTTGCCAGGGACATGTACATTTGTTAGAGGATGACAGAGAGAGGGAGAAATGACCTTCATGGTGTGTGGTCATACCACGGTCCCTTCTCCTATGCTTCTCTGTCCTGTCAAGATTTAGGACATGCATATACACAGGTAATCAGCTTCTTTAACCAATAGGCAGTGGGGCCAGCCCTAAACTCTTTATTTCTATCTGGTGTGTCTTCTAATTGTTGAAGGGGTGCAAGTCATCTTAAAGATTCTGTTGCAATGCCTACATAACCACCACACAACACACACACATTCACACACACACGCTTTTCTCCTACATCCTTCCCATATGTGATTGTCATTTAGTGAAAAGGAAACATAATCTGCATAGACATCGCAATGCCTGACTCAGATTGCACGGAAATGTAGATGGAATAGGCAGATGTCCTCTGAAAGCCTTTCTGCCACCACCCTTTCTGTCAAGCCAAAACATCTGCTCCACTGATGCTAGAAATTCTAATGGTAGAATTAACTCCACAGGCTTTAGAAATGAACAGAATCATGAAGGACGAATACCAGGGTCTTTGGAGTAGAAGAGACCTGGGTGCCAACCCAAATCCTGCCCTTGATAATTGGATCCTCCCCTAGTAGATGCAAATCTCAGGCATATCTTAAAATAGATATTTCTTACATGATTATTTTGAGATTTAAAAACTATGTACCTTTGCAGTTGTTCTAAAGTGAGACCCTTTATATTTTCACTTACTTCCTCTACTAGTATATGCTTTTGCAAAATTCTTTTTTAAATACAAATGTTTTTGAAGAACTCTTAAAATATTAACATATAATATGTGACAAAATATCATATATAGTAAATAAATTTATTTATTCTTTCCACAGCACAAATAAGTAAAACAGCGTAAGACATTGGTTATTTGGAGAATGTTGATATTTTTAAGTAAAAAAGAGGAGGTAAAGTGTTGAAAAAAAGAAGAAGAAGAAGAGTTAGAGGGTTAAAAAGAAGAGGCAAGAAGCTTCAGAACCAAACATTTTCTACTTGACATTCCATTTTGATTGAGTCCTTTGTAGTACAAGGCTTTTTGGTTTTCTTTCTTAAAGGGTAATACCTCTTTGGTTGTGCTCTGGTATTCATCTTTAAACTATAGTATAAGAAAATATAGAAGCAGATCATGTGCAAACATGAATGGGTGAATCAATAAGAATGAAGAGCAAAGGCTGCTATTGATGAGGTCTAATTTCTATTATCAAATCATTTTTAAAAGAAGTGGAACAGTTTCCCAATTTGTAGATATTTGGTACGTCCATATTTTTCATACATTTTGATTCAGATTTTACAAGGACAATTTATCAAAACCATTTGTCTATAAAAGCACTCAGATGAGCAGTTGGTTAGGATACTTTGCTTGGAAATTGATCATTTCTTATATAAAAACTTGAGACGAGATCATACCTATTGAGATTGCCCCTCTTTAGTGCAGTATTTCTTTTAATTGGAAATTCAGAAAAAGTGAAAGATGATGGAAAAAAACAGTACTAAAATAATGTCTGAAGATGGGAGTTCCCAGAGTTCAAGGATAAAACAAAGATGCTGAATTCTTGATTCTTTTCCTTCATTTAATATGCATTCTTTGTGTAACAATGAAATATTTATTTTTCCTTCAATTATAATTGCTTCTTATTTCTTTTCATCTTCACTTCACAACTTGTTTCTTGAAATAATTGCTTGGCTTTTCGTTCACGATCCAGAATTTCTTTGGGTAATATGTTTTTTTCCTCAAATACAGCTTTCAAAGCTACGAAATGATGAAGAAAATGGCATGCAAATTATATTTGGTAAAAGACCTCATTAAATGAAATAGTAGGGAAGATTTTTTTCCAAGTTTCACTTCATCTAAAAATTTGTATGTTTTGAAAACCTCAAGGGTATTTGGAGAGATTTTTCTCTCAGCCTCTGCTATTTCTTTTACTTTAATTAAAATCTGAAAGTTAAATTTTTACTGAGTTTGTTCTATCAATCTGTGGATATGATCACAACCGAGATCCACCATTTAAGGACAGAGGACTGAAGAAGCTGGTGTTTTCCATTTTCGTTTTTGAAATCTACTTAACAGCTATCAAAGGCTTATAAAAAGCCAAGAACAAATTATTCTGCACTGAAATAAGACAATTAAAATAATCAAACCACAGTTTGGCCTGTCTGTATGACTCATCAAGTGCATCTGCCTCACATTCTTACAGGAAACTTTGATCTGCAGGGATCTATGGCTTCAGGGGGAAAAGAGATGGAGGGAGAGAGAGAGAGGGAGAGAAAAAGAGAGAGAGCAAGCCAAATTATCCCCATGAGTGGTTATATTGTGCACAGCCAAAAGTGGGAGGAAATTGTGCCATGCATTCAAGAAAATAATTGTGGCCTTTTGTGTAATTTGATCATTTCAATGAATGCTTATCGAAAGCACATTATGCACAGTGTTCTGTGCTCTGTGGTAAATGGGGCACAGATATGACTAAGTCATGCCTTTTTTCCACCTGGTGGGACAGAAATAGCACCCAAATAACCAAAATATTAGACTCAATAAGAGAATCTAAGCAAAGTAATTGTTACACAAACATGTAAAGAGATTATAACAATACTTAGAGATCAAGGGGAAAGCATGAAGAAGTAGATACTGGAGCCAGCAGGTGGCATGGTGGTTAAGGCACTGGATTCCCACATGGCCCCCTGGTTGGAGTCCCAAATCCCATGGCTTAAAATTCATGCCAGCCACACATGTGTGCACGCCCAAAATCCCAGGAGGAGAATGAAGGAGAGATTACAACATGGCCATCCCCCCAGAGGGTGATTTCTCACTTTCCTCCTCACTGTCTCTGCGTGAGAGCATTTGCTCTATGGCCAAAACCTTAAAAATTGAAAAATAATTAGGTACTACCTGACATTGGTCTTGAAGTCCTAATAGGATTTTAATTGATAATAATTAGGGAAAAGTTGGCAGAGAGGCAAGAAAACGCCAAATGGAGGGAACAAAGTGAGTGTAAGTATAAAGAAACAAGAGCTAACTATTATTGGGGTAACTGGATAATTCAGTGCAATTGAACAAAAACATAAAATACATGAATAAGAGTCAAGTGGATTGAAGTTGCAGCCGGACTGATGAACACTTTAAATGCCACGCCAAGGAACATGAAATACAGGAAAGTAAACATTGAATCACTTTACAATATAGTGGCATCGCTGTATGTTCCAATTCAGAACAAAACAAAAGGGCTTCCTTTCTGCTATTAACATGGCTATCTACATCAATATCTTTCCCCTTTTCCTCCTGGAAATTATACAAGAAGAACCGGGAAAAATAACTCTTTAGCTAATCCCACCTTCAGCCAAACTCAAAGGGAGAAGCAACCTGTGGTCTATAAAACAGGAAGAAAGGTGGTCAAGGCGCTGGGATTGAGCAAAAGCTACACAAGGAAAAAGTGACCAGCACAGAGAACGGTAGGAGGTCCACAGGGACCATCTCAGAAGGGCTAGCAAAAAGATACTCACTGAGGGACCCAGGGTGTGGTGGTCAAAGCAACTAGATCCCACACTGCCCACTTCGCAGTTGGAGTCCTAGGCCCGGTGGCTTGGAAAACATGCCTGGAGTTTGCACATGTGTGCTGAAAATCCAGAGAAGAGACTGCAGTGTGGCCATCCCCCCTTGAGGGGGTTACTTCTATCTCTGTTTCTCTATGGCCAGTGAACATGTCCTATAGCAAAATGTAACAACCACAACAAAGATAGGCACTGAACATGAGAGGCTTATTCCGCAATATTAACGCTTTAGTCTTCATTTATATCTATGGGTGATAAACGGAGGTGAACAAGACTGACGCAGAGGTTTTCTCAGATTTGGCTTGGCTTAGATGAGACAGGGTTACCTAAAGCATTGCGCACATGAATCTTTTTGCTAAAAGTTGTCTGCCCCCATGGGTTACAAAAATCAAAGCCACCCTGACTCCACCTCTCAACCTCTCCCCCAAGGCCATGTTCCATATTTCAAGCCTAAGAAAACATAGACCATTAAAACCAATTCATTAAAATAAGACGCTTTAGAAACTAACATAGTAATTTTGGACACAAAGGTATTATAAACAAAATATGAAAATAAGTCAAATTGGAAAAAAAGAAAAATTCATCAATACATGGACCAACACCGAAAAAAAAAAAAAAACTCATTACACAGATATTGTTACCGAGCGTTTTGATAGGAATTAAATTTAACAAGTTATAAAAAGCCTCTATGAAAGAAGATCCAGAGCAGAAGTAACATAAGTCAGAAAAGAGAGAAGAGGAATAATAAAATGGGAGGTGGCAGAACTCAGGAAGAAAATAGAAAATCACAATGGAAATAGGGTGCGTAGTCACATGCCAAGAAACAGATCATAGAAATGGGGAAAACAAGTGCAAGATGATTTTCAAGAAAGAGTTAGAGAGGACCAGTAGATTGCATGGAGAGTGGACCCCACATAACCAACTCTGCCATTCAAGTCCTCGACCCAGCCGCTTGAAAAATAGAGTGAGGGCAAGTGCGTGCATGCACCAAATTCCAAGAGGGGAACAGAGAAGGGATTGTGGGGTGGCCATACTCCTTGGAGGCTGTTTCTCCTTTTCTCTCTCTCTCCTTCTCTGTTTCTCTTTGACAAGCACATGAGTCCTATAGCCAAAAATCTAAAATATAGAAAGTTTTTTAAATTGAATTAGACATATGAGCTATACTGATGACAAAAAAAAAAAATAGATCTCACAAACGCATTATTGGAGTAGGCTATTTGGTAAGATCGGCATATGACAAGTATTTCAAGGCATCATTTAATAAAATTTTTCTCAAATAAAAGACCTGACATATACTGAATAGATACTCTGTGTACCAGAAATAATTAACTCAGAGTACTCAAAACCAAGCCCCAATTCCATTGAAAGTATTACGTTAAAGATCATAGGAGAATCAACCGGTGGCTACGTAAAACGACGAGTCACTTTAACAGAGGGAAAATATGGGTTAGATGCAATGGCACAGACAGTCGGGCTGCAGCTGTGCGATGCTGCAGAGCACAGGAAAGCACCAGGTCTGTGTCCGGAGTCTACCTCAGTACGCTGGTGCACCAGTGGCTGTGCCTGTGGGCCTGGCAGACTGCGGATCTGGGAGAGGATTGTGGCATGGAGACAGGAGAGACGCTGTCTCTCTAGCTCTCTTTTTCTCTCAGGAAATAAATAAATTAATGTTTAAAGAAGCATGAAAAACATCTTAGATTATATATCTTCATAGGAATGACTAATAGTAGCGGAGGGCTGTAGAGTACTGGCTCCAAGATAATAAAGGAAATGCTCAGTCGTGGCAGTGGAGCAGCAATGCTGAGGTCATATGGGAAAGTCCTAGGTTCACATCCAGGGTCTCCCTGTGCACATTAGGTATTAGTGTGTCTATGCGTCTGGAGGACAGAGGCTAGGGGTGGATTGCAGTGTGAAGACCACATTGGGTTCTCTCTCTCTCTACTTCCCTCTCTCTTGAAAGAAATAAACTAACAATAACAACAAAAAATATATGGAAGAAAATATGTGAGCGAAGAATTTTATATAGTTCCAAGCTGTCCTGCAAATCTAAAAACTAATTGTTTTTCATTTTTGCTATAGGGCACTTACATTTGCTGGAGAAAAAGACAGAGAAGGCAAGTGAGAAAGCACTTACCGGGACATGGCCATGCCATAATCCCATTCTCCTCCATTCTCATCTCAAGATTTTGGGCATGCGTGCACATTCGCCCTGCATGTTTTGTAAGTTGCCAGGTCCAGGATCAAGCCATGGAGAATATGCAAGGAATTCAGGGACTGTTATTCTCAAGGGCCATTTTTTAAGAAATTACTAAAAGATGGACCAGCAGTTGACATAATGGCTATGTCACTGGACTCCCATGAAGTTGACCGCAGTTTGAGTCCTGGATCCAGTGGCTTAAACTCATGCCGGGCATGTGTGCATGCATGCCCAAGATCCCGAGAAGAGAATGGAGGAGAAGGGATTGCAGTATGGCCATCCCCCCTGGGGTCTGATTTCTCTTCTTCTGTCTCTCTGTCTGAAGAGTGCATGCATTATTGTTCTCATTATTTATTAAAAAAGAAAAAGAAAAAGTAATTACTAAAATATAAACTAAGAAATTGCTAATAACAATTTGAAAAAAGTATTTGCTGGTTAGCATTGAATATGTCTAAATGTGGAAGTGAGATTAAAATAATCTCTAGAGGAGCTAGTTGGTGGCACAGTGGCCACACAATTAGACCTAGGTGGGAACATCCCGAGTCTGCATCCCGAGGCCTTCCTATACATCCTTGGTATGAACTCACTTGTGGTTGGGGTTGGCTGAGGGTGGGGATAGATTGTGGCATAAAGAACCTTTGGGGGATGCCTGTTTGTTTCTCTCTCTCTCTCTGCATAGAAAAATAAATACATAAATAGAACAGTATAGTTCAGGATGAGAAAATGGAAGGTAAGTGCCACATGCCTGACAATGTAAAAAGTCAAGTAATAAAATTGGGAGGGTGGGGTTGGCAAATGGTTCGGTGGTTAAGGTGCTGGACTCACCTTATATCCAGCAGCTAAGGTTTGGACCAACCACGGTTTGAGTCTTGGACCTGGTGGCTGGCTTTCTTACTTTCTCTCTCTCTCTTTGTCTCTCTCTGGTGAGCACACATGCCCTATAGCAAATTTAAAAGTAATAGTCATAATACATACATTTAAATAAATAAATAAAAATTGAGAAAGCAAGG